GGCTCCTACGTGCAATAGATGATCTATTTCTTGTTGTAACAGGATCTTGTGCGAAAGGTCCCTGAAGTGGGATGGGGGAAGGTGGGTGGACAGGGGTGTGTGAAATAAATGTGATAGAGTAACCTTTGTGGCCTATTTCTAGTAGACAGTTGTCTGATATGTTGTTTTGCCAGATAGCATACTACAGTAACAGGCAAGTTGTGAAGAGGCTTTGCCTTGGTTGGCATTGTGGAAAAGGGAGCGATGTTGAACTCTTGACCAGTGTAGACAGCTTTGACTCCAGAGGCTGATCATGTGTCTGTTGCTGTCATGGTTGTTTCTGTCTGTGGCATTGATCATATGCAAGCTGAAGCTATAAATACAGTGCCAGACAGACACATTGCACATAGAAGCAGCCCAGGTTGTTTGGTTGGTTGGTTTTTTGCATTGCAGGACATATAAACCTGTGGTTTTTAAGGTAGCACAGGACTCTCTGAGGGTATGCAACGAGATCCCGGTGCTCTCTGTGAATGGTTTCTGTCCCTCAAGTGGCAGATCCTTGACAGTATTTTGTATTTCTTTAGGAAATCCTGAGAGATGGAGCCAGGAAGTGCGACACATGATGGTGGCTGTTGCTAGTGATCAGGCCAGCTGTCGGCAGAGTTGAGGGACTCCTGTAATACTGTCTTAAATAGTAATAGAGATGTAGCCGTGTTAGTCTCGTCTTGCTGAAACAAAGGACAGGACTATGCAGCACTTTAAAGTCTAACAAGATGGTTTATTAGGTAATGAGCTTTCGTGGGCCAGACCCACTTCCTCAGATCAAATTATGGAAGAAAATTGGCATGACCATATATACCAAAGGGATACAATCAAAAAAAGTGAGCACATATAAAACAGACAAATCGGATTTTAAAACAGAGGGGGGATAAGGAGGGAGGTTAGTGTCTCTGAGCTAATGATATTAGAGGTGATAATTAGGAAAGCTATCTTTGTAATGAGTAAGATAATTAGCATCTTTACCTTATCCATTACAAAGATAGCTTTCCCAATTATCACCTCTAATATCATCACCTAATAAACCATCT